AGGTTCCTCACCAAGCTCTATAAATACAGGAGGGACTCACTCCTCCTCACCATCTCAGATAGGTTCCTCAGCAAGCTCTATAAATATAGGAGGGACTCACTCTTCCTCGCCATCTCAGATAGGTACCACACCAAGCTCCATAAATACAGGAGAGACTCACACTTCTTCACCATCTTAGATTGGTTCCTCAACAAGCTTTATAAATAAAGGAGGGACTCACTCTTCCTCGCCATCTGAGATAGGTTCCTCACCAAGATCTATAAATACAGGAGGGACGTACTCTTCTTCACCGTCTCTGATAGGTTCCTCACCAAGCTCTATAAATACAGAATGGACTCACTCTTCCTCACCGTCTCAGATAGGTTCCTCACCAAGCTCTATAAATACAGGAGGGACTCACTCTTCCTCACCATCTCAGATAGGTTCCTCAGCAAGCTCTATAAATATAGGAGGGACTCACTCTTCCTCGCCATCTCAGATAGGTACCACACCAAGCTCCATAAATACAGGAGAGACTCACACTTCTTCACCATCTTAGATTGGTTCCTCAACAAGCTTTATAAATACAGGAGGGACTCACTCTTCCTCGCCATCTGAGATAGGTTCCTCACCAAGCTCTATAAATATAGGAGAAACTCAATCTTCCTCGCCATGTCAGATAGATTCCTCACCAAGTTCTATAAATACAGGAGAGACTCACTCTTCCTCACCATCTCAAATAGGTTCCACACCAAGCTTTATAAATACAGAATGGACTCACTCTTTCTCACCGTCTCAGATTGGTTCCTCACCAAGCTCTATAAATACAGGAGGGACTCACTCTTCCTCACCATCTCAGATAGGCTCCTCAGCAAGCTCTATAAATATAGGTGGGACTCACTCTTCCTTACCTTCTCAGACAGGTTCCTCAACAAGCTCTAAAAATATAGGAGGAACTCACTCTTCCTCACCATCTATGATAGGTTCCTCAGCAAGCTCTATAAATACAGGAGAGACTCACTCTTCCTCACCATCTCAGATAGGTTCCTCAGCAAGCTTATTATTTTGATTGTTTTTGTTCTATTTTTTTCTACTAGGCTCACTTCAAGAGAGGAATATGAGTGTTGGATACCACCAACAAAGCTTTATCATGATAATAGGTGCAGCCAATTTCAAAATCATTCTACCATAACCTCTCTTGGCCTAAACAAAAATCACATTGTAAACAGACTTCACAAATCGCAGAATTTTTAATTGCTTTGCCTACATGATATCTTACTGCAGGAAAGGTGCCAAAGACTCAATGAACAAACTTACATCTGGATGCTTAGGAAGTGTTGAAACATTCTACTGCTGGGATAGAGCAAAACATCTATAACTTTCTGTACAACTTTTGAATAAGAACATATACAGGGTTCTAAGAATTTCAGGAACAAATTTTTTTTGAACCACTGCAGGGAATGCATTAAAGCATTGCACATAAGTTCCATACCTAAAATTCTACTTTTTGAAACAAATATTTGTTTTTTCCATTATACTTTAAAAAATAAAACATCCATTGGCTGTGATACCTACTAACTTAATCTCGTTGAATAAATTATCGTGGATTAGTGTCATTTGTTGTCTCCAAAATGTCTGGGAAGAGATTTTTTTACCATTGCAGATAAGGGACTGAAGTACTATAGACAAAAAATTACTTTTTGTATCCAATATAATTTTGCCTTTGTACTGGGGCAGTCCACAAAGAGTAAAAAGGAAATCTTAATTGGAGTGAGGGTCGAGTAGTACATCAAATTAACCATTAATGGTCTCTATTAAAAGTGCCAACACAGTGCCACCAACCTGACCTTAAAAGGATCATCCTAGTCAAACGATAGCAGTTTAAAATTACAAAAATTTTCAACAAAATAACAAGGAATAATGGCTTAGTTTTGTTTATTGTTGTATGCATATTTAGTAGCAGTTTCATACTATCAATTACTAAATATTTCTATATATAACTTAGCCCAGATTTGTTTTAATAAATTACGTCAAGGGATATGCATCCATTTACTCACATTGCAGTTAGCGAGCAGCACCCATTGTCAATTTAGGGGTGGTTGTATGCTGTAAATACATATATAAATATTTAGTTAAAGACAGTTACTGATAGTGTAGTAAAACATTGAGATCTCAGAAAATGCAACATATTCAGGAAAAATATGCATCAAACATTCCTACGCTCAAGAACTCAGGCATGCATATAATGTAATCATTAAAAAAGGATAGGCTCTTAAATGATTCAGTATTTTACTTTATTACCATTACCCAATACACGGCATATGGAGAAGGTATTTTTTTCGCCAACATGTAAGGGTAAGTTTTGGTTCTGAACCAAAAAAGTGGTTTTCAGAGTGATATCTGTGTGTGTGTAAATGTGTACAGAGCCACGGACTACACCTGTGGTCTGATATTTATTTAGTTTGGTATGTGGGTTCTAATCCATGGTATTTCTACGCGTTTTTTCCTTGTTTTTGAAATTTTTGTTTTTGAGTGATTTTCACATAAAAACCCCCATAAACAACAATAAAATCATATTTCTACAAAACCAGGTCAAACTATTTTAATTAAAATTTAGTATGTCATAGTGTTTTATAAACAAAATGGTACAACCTACATTGCTGTAAAAATTACAGTTTATAAGGCATGGCAACTTTTTTTATTCACCCCATAAAATATCATAGTAACTCCAACTGCTTACCCATGATGAGGGTTGTCGACAAGCTAATGGGAGAAAATATGTGTCAGATCTATTACAATACAACACAATAATACTATACAATATTCTTTACCGTACATTCATCAAGAATTACAATAATGTCATGAGTAAATTAAAGTACATTTTAATTTACAAAATGTTCATAAAATTCCTTTAGTGAGTAGAAGGGTCTTGCGATCAGCAATAGTGAACTTCTGGTGTAGCTTGTTGCCAGTCAGGTCAGGTCTTTTATGTAGTCAGGTAGATGGTTCTTCAGTTTGGAGGAAGGGTTTTTTTTTTCCCAGAGAGTGGTTCGGTGAACTGGTAGGACAAATTTGGAGCCATGAAGAGTTTTCTAGTGGTGCAGGTCTTGGTTTTTTGGGGATTTATTTCATTCACATACTTTATGGTTTCGAGTATGTAGAGAGACACCACTGTGAGGATTCCTAGGTTTGAAAGCTGGTCTGCAAGTCTGTAGTGGGACAAGGTTGGCGAGGGCTCTTATGGCTTTCTTCTTAAGAACAAGGATTCTACAAGGATTTAGTTGTTTATTACAATTCTGATACTTTGTTACAGCCAAAGGGTGGTTTTAATCAATAAGGTTGCAAAAAAACTTGACAAAAATGATAATTAATTATAAGAATAGTACTTGAACCGAGCCCTGTTGCACTACCATAGTACTAGTAATATAAGCTTGTTTACACAAAAAAGAATGCACTAAATTGAAATGCTCTTAAACCTATTATATGTGTTAAACCTATTAAACCTATTATATGTGCATAAAGATTACACTGAGTTTAGTATCAAATAAATACTGCTATTTAAATTCTTCTCTTCATGTCATGTAAAAAAGCTATTACTTTTAATTGAGGAGTTCTTAAATACATAAAATACATAGAATGTATTCTCAAGAGACCAAAATTATAAGAGTCATGGGTGATTGGATGGATGTGAACCTGGATCTCGCAGCACTGAAGTCTGATGCTATAATCTCATTATAATTTAACTGCAACAGAAGCTTGATTCCAAGAAATTTAACAGCACTTTAACAACAATAATATTATTTATTCTATAATCTAAAACTTGCTATACTTGGGCTGCTAATCTTCATTGTTAGTACAGCTTGCCATTCTCTATTTAAAATCTTCAATTTGATCCTGTTTAAATTAGATGTACCGCGGTGGGTCATGAACATCATTTTTATATGAGACCATTTTTTGAGAGAAAGAACAAAAAAATAAGGAAATCCAACAACAACAAACAAGGATGGCCTGATCAATGGCTTTATGGTTTGTACTTTTTACGGTACAGTACAATAATTAGTAATATCTTTAATATTTTATGGCTAAGAATTAGGTAACCTACAAACTTAGGTGTACGAATCTAACGGAAAGTAAATAAAAGAAACGTCTTATAACACTTAAAACATATATTTACGCTTATACTGTTACTCACAAGACGGTAAATATACAAAAAAGATTAGTAAGATGGTAAGTAACCACTTACCATCTTTTTTGTATATTTACTGTCTTGTGAGTAACAGTATAAGCGTAAATATATGTTTTAAGTGTTATAAGACGTTTCTTTTATTTACTTTCCGTAAATTTAATAACACGTACAATGCTGATCAAAAAGTTATTTACGAATCTAATGAACTTTATGAGTAGTGGAAAGCACAATACATGTAGAATTGCAATAACGTGATCTTGTGGTGTTTTTAAAATACTGATAGTTCATTATTTTATTGTTGTGTTTTGCAGTTTTATACTACACTAAAATAGATATGGAAGGTCTGTAGTAATCATACTCCCAGATAAAATAAATGTTCAATATATATATATATATACAGATCTTATTATGAGATATTGATATATTATTAATTTATCATATATTTAGGGGTATATTTTTACCCTAATGACGACAACTAAGGATTGTCCCCTGGTAAGATCATTTTCAGGAACTTTAGATGTCAAAGACTTTAACCACTGAGCATAATGGAAAATAAGCATTATTTTTATATTGGCTTTAAGAAATCAAGAGTTAGATAATTGAAATTTTCCATCTTCAAGAGTATGTAATATGTTATCCAAGTAGTTAAGTAATTATTAATTCTTTTTTGCTGTGTTTCTACGCTATTGGCATTTTTATGTTTTTTTTTTGTTTTTTTTTTTGTAAGGGAACAGGATTTTTTTATGGATGGCGTTATTTTATTCCTGCAAAAGCAAGGAAAATATCAAAGCATTGATGATAATCTATGACAAACTGTATGCGTCATGTGTTACAGGACAGGGAGTTTGTGGAGTTGGAGGTGCCATATAACGGAGCGCCCAAACGTCCAGGGTCGCCTAGTCCTCTGATCAGCCCCACTCACTCGGCTGGTAGTCGCACAGGGCTGCTGCACAGCTGTTGTGGGCGATGCTGTGGCCAGCGCTACCAGGTACTCCATAGTTGTTACAAGTGTTTAAATATTTGTTTATACTTTTAGTGTAACTTTATCTTCATGATATGTTCTGAGGAATATCTTGAATAAAGCATATCATAAAAGAAATTGTCAATATTAAATTAAAATACAACATCTTTATCTACTCAAAAAATCATTATGGCTTTAGTACCGCTCATGAAAAAATCATTGTCGCTGCTGTGTTTTTAAATATGTAAGCGTTGTGGTAATGTACCATTTTAGGCAGCTATGCAAAATTGAACAACGGAACTTGAATGTTAAGTAGAATTGTGGACAGAGCAACAATCTTTTCAGTTACGTTCAGTAAAATTGTTATGCTAATATTTTAAATCATTATATCTTTTTCACTTTCCTATGTACTTAATTTGGTTGTGGAATACCATTCTTGACATTGAAGTGATAATTTCGCAAACATCTGTAATTAAATATTTGTATAGTGAAATGACATACTTTACCTACCATGTTGTAATAAGTAACCCACTCAGTAGTACCACCCTATCATTGATGTGTTCCCACAAATATATGAAAATACATGTGTTAACCCCAATAAGAAATGTACGCAAACTGAAGAAACTCATATTATGGATCAAAGTCAGGTAAATTTACCGCAATCCAGCTTTTTTTCTTCACTCCACCTGATTTTATCCCTTTCTGTCAACAACGACTTTCTACAAAGGAAACCTTTCTGTAAACAAAGACTTTCAGAAACTAGCTGCTTACTATGTAGGTATAGTGTGGTTAAATACACCAGTAAGCAGGGGCGTCATTTGGGGGGGGGCAGGGGGGGGCATTTGCCCCCCCCCTGGTTCCTGGGCTAGAGAAAAAAATATGCTGTACTAGCTAATATACAAAATATTTTCTCCTGTCAAATCCTAAAAAGCACAGCAGACAAAAATCTTGCCTATTCTTCTACAGTAATTTGAAACAAAAATATTATTTGTTAGTGCCTCAGTAGCACATTCAAATTAATTGTGTCAAATTAACACTAATAATTAATAATAAATAATTAATTAATTATTATGAGTATTGATGGTAAAATTTGATTAGCTTTTAAGCACTTAAATACTTGTGTTTTATTTAAAAACCAAATTAAACTGTTATAAACTATAGGGTATGAATACAACCGTATTCATTGCTATAGGTCTAAATGTTGTACAAGAGAATTTGGTCATGAATCTAATAACAAAAATAATATTAATACACCATGAAACTATTGATCATGTTTCTTAGATGGCTAACTTACCAACATATTATTATGTTTCTGTCTGTTGTCAATAATTGTTAGTTTCATAAATTTTCTGCTTGGATTTAAATAAATTTTACTCATAATTTTGTTTTTATTCGAAGTGCTTTTGACAATTAAAATAAGCTTAAACCCCTCTTTTTTGTTTCAAAACTGCAAAACTTTCCCCGGACCCCCCCCCTCGTTTTCCGTACCCCCCAGTGTTTGCCCCCCCCCCCCCCAAGGATTTGGTGAAATGACGCCACTGCAAGTTCCAACTCCATCAAATTTAATTTAGTTATAGCCTTTTGGGATTGATTGAAAGGGTATCCTGTATTTTATTATGTATGGCATAGCTCATATAACAGACAAATAAATCTAAATACTGTATCTAAGATCTTATGTTTCAAGTTCGAGTTCATACATTTTATGCTTTAGGAATTTCCACTTTTGAACTATACCATGTGGCCATGTGATTGGTGAATCTTATAATTCACTTGGACTTGTATACTGTAACCATTGTTGATGCAGGTTGTATTGTTATGGCTCAGTAAGGTAAAGGAATCTCTGACAATGTGTAGGTCTCTGTTACTCAAGGGGAGTAGTCTGAAGCATATATTAGAATTAATATATTAATTACCTACTAATACTAATAGTAATAACTTCCAAAACTGTTTGCTTTGAGTCGATAGTTAAGGCTATAATTTGTTACGGGGCACAAGTGTGGGGTTTTATAGAGAGTGAAATTGTCGAGTCAGTCCAAAAACTGTTTATAAAAAGATTGTTCAGATTGCCTTCTAACACTCCTAATTACATAATATATATAGAGACAGGTGCTGATAATTTTTTTTCCAAACTTTAAGAACAAATATAAATTATATAGTTAGAGTGTTATCTTTGCCTAATAATAGATTGCCTAGAATATTAGCAAAACAGGTTATTGAAAAACATATATTTTGGTGCAGACATTGGGAAACCGTTGGGAAAACTCATGGCCTAGAAATAAATTTTGAAACTCAGGATGTCAGCGCATTGGCGATACAGTTAGGATCGCTGGCAGAAGCTATTAAAACCAAATGGAAGGATGAATGTGTAGGCCGAGCTAGGAAATCTGTTTATCACAAACAGCTATTGCGAGTTGACCTTGAACTAGGAGATAAGAGTACCCTTGCCTTCAGCGAGGTTGAACTAATTTCTTGGGCAATTAAAGCTAGGGCAGAGCTGGTAAATTTAAATTATAAACCCTGGACCGAACAAAATTTTATTTGCTCATTATGTAATCTCGAAGAGTACAAAACTACCTTTCACTTCATTGCCGTCTGTCCAATGTTGGGTAATATTAGAAGGTATTGGTTAGGAAGCAACATTTTGAGTGAAGTAGAATATAATCAATATCTAAACGGGAAGGATTGGCGTATCTTCACAAAATACCTTAGAGAAGCTTGGAAGTATAGATGAGAGCTTATAAGGGAGTTTAACTTCTAAATTTTAGGTAAATTAACAAAAAGAAAAAAAAACCTTGACACTCGTTTATTTTTATCTGATACCCTTAATTCTGTATTATGTTTTGTTATCTATTGAGCACTCTAATTGTGTTTTATTATTATTTTATTTATTGTAAAAAATGTTCATTTCTTTTGTGCTAAATGTTTTTTAAAGACTCATATTTATTTTAGAAGGCAAAGATTGTGTCAACCAAACAGACGGTTGTTATCAACCATTGTTTCAAAGTGTTATGTTTTTTTGGGTGTACATATTACCTTATCGTTTAATAAAGCACTTACTCATTTCATTTTAATTTTTAATACTAATACTAATACTATTACTAATATTCCACTTCATACTTGCCTTTAGGAAATTATTAGTTTAGGAAATGAGTAGGATGGCTAGTCATCCTCTAGAATGCCTGGATTTGTACTTTGCCAGTAACATATACATTGCTACAGTAGTCACTAACCCACTCATATAACATAAACAAACAAGTCACATCCTGTTAAGCGACATTCCGTACATACAGATGTTATTGCAGTATTTCATTATTATTTAATATAATACTGTAGTTTATTATAACATAATGCGTGGTTTCTAATGTATCTACAGTGTTGAATTTTGTACAAATTTCTGATGGCTGGCTCCTTTTTTAGTTTCAATAAAGTGGTGTCCTAGCTGAACGACGAAATCCAAAGCTGGTATCCGTCGTACCGAAAAATTTCAAATAGGTACTGTATGTGGATAAGAATGAGAGCGTCCTAGTTGAGTGACCAACCATGGGACCGACGGCGTCGGACGACCGACTACTGTGATTGTAGGCCTTGAGTAGTGAGGCGTTAAAACAATGTTAAAATGAGGTGTTCTTTGAAATTTCATTTGTAGCACTCCTGCGGTCCAATGATTTTTTATGTAAGCAGAGATTGTAGAAGAACAGTCCAGCAGCATGAGCTTACATCTTTTCTCACTTTTCTCAACCTATAACACATTTAGACATTAGTAACAATGGTTGAATGAAGAGGAACTGTCGTCAGTTGCTGGGACGACTGCATGACTCAGTGTGGACACTCAATTCTGTCGTCAGACAAGACTCGCTCGCAAGGACGACCGACTGATTTTTCGTCGCTCAGCTAGGATGGGACCAAGTCCGGAGAGATTAGAGTGCAATATACTTTAGAAGCAGGTTTTGATACATGAGGTTGATATTTTGATGTAAATATGACACTTGCACTGTGACATCTGGATAGTCATTGAGGAGACGAACACGTCTGCACCAGAGAGTGTGCGATCAGCTGTTATCAGTATCAGACTGAGACATCTGTTACTTTCTGAACAGTCCTCCTATGTTGAAGAGTGAATCACTGTGTTTGATAAAGCATACAAAAGCCGTGAAGCCCTCTAAAAACTCAGCCTTGTGCTATTATACTTGAATTACCTTTAACAAGTATTTAACTGGTATAAACTTGAATTATATAATATCACAAACATTCGATGATATAAAAACGGAAACCCTTTCATATGTTTAAAAGTATATGTAGAAAAATTATTACTAACAACCATTTATTAAAGAAACTTGGAGTAATATTTTACCGTAATTAATTCCATAACATGGAGTATGGAGGTTGAGATAGTTATATTCGTCTTAGTTGTTAAAGAGACATTTTCAATCCAAAAACAAGGTTTTCATTATACAGGGTGATCAACTCAAGGAGGACACCATTGGGATATCGGAAATGGTAAGAATTAGAGAATACTTTAAAATGAGGGACATCCTTTATTTTTTGTCGAAGTTAAAAATATAAATTTAGTTTTTTGAAATTCAGCCGCCATTTTCCAACATGGCGGCCAACTTTAAGATTTCTTATGGAACACTCTATATTTTAAACAAAGTCTCTCTATTTTTTCGGTTAGAACATGCATTTTAAAAACTTGTTTATTCTTAACATTTTTTCGATAAACCCACTCGTTTAGGAGTTACAGCCTACGAACAAATTATTTCCGGTGTACATTTTGCATCATGTAACTCCTAATTGAGTAGGTTTATAGCGAAAATGGGAAGAGTAAATAAGTCTTAAAATTGTATCCACATTCCAAAAAGACCATAAAATACATACAAAATATTGATTCTATTATTCCAAAAATGGCAGCCATTTTCCAAAATGGCAGTAAACTTGAAAAGTGGAAAAGTGGACTTTTTGGAATGTAGATGCAATTTTAAGACTTATTTACTCTTTTTCAATTTTGCTCTAAACATACCCGTTTAGGA